AAATAAAAGCACAATGAAAGCAGCAGTCCGCTATCTGCCTGGTCCAAAGATGGAATGTTTCAGTGTGATGCTTTAGATAACCTTGGGTTTGTCTCCAGAAGTGCTACAGTATTTTTGAAATGCGCTTGAAAGCTAAAGGTGGTGTAATCTGATTTTATTTTCCCTTTAAAAGTGCACTAAAGCTTTCCTTTTGAACGGCGTGTTTCGAAGAATCCTAAAACGGGAATTTTTTTTTCCATATAAAAATGTACTTTGCAACCTCTAGGTCGATTTTTACCTTACGTGTGCATGGAGATTCTCTTTATCTGAATTATATTTAGCATCCCAGGTCTAGGTTGATGTGGGGCAAATTTCTTTCTGGCGGGAAGAAAATCTAAAAAGAAAATGGAAAAAGAGAAAGAAAAAAAAAAGAGCTGTGGGTGTTAGTTTCTTGAACGTCTTTATGTCATTTTGGCTGGCAAAACGGCCATGTCTGTTCCTAGGTGTGCTTGCGTAATTCAGCTGATGGCTGGGGAGATGCTGCTTCCAAATACAGAGAGAGGGGATTTTGTGATTGGGATATTTTCCTAGCAACTGTCGTGGGAACCCGAAGCGGCCATGGCGGGGATAGGCCCGTTAAAATCCGGCCACGGGGCTGATGGCAGGTTAAATATTGTTGAAATGCTGAACGCCAGCTGAGAAGTGGAGAGTCAGTTGCGGGCCGGGGCAGGAGGAGTGCAGGGCGGTCGCAGGCAGGGGCCGGGTGGCGGGGCCAGGCAAGCCCAGCCTGGCAGCGGGTCCCCTCCCAGTGCCCACCCCGCACCCGAGCCCTGTGTAGTGCCCGCATCCACCATATCTGCCAGACACTGCAGAGGAGGGGTCATGGCCAAGGGTACAATCTAACAGCCTGAGGTATTTTTGATTTTTTTTTCTTCTTCTTCTCCTTCTTTGATTTTGATAGAGGAAATCAAGTCTGATACTCCAACAAGCAATTGGCTAACTGCAAAGAGTGGCAGAAAGAAGAGGTGTCCTTACACTAAGCACCAAACACTGGAATTAGAGAAAGAGTTCTTATTCAATATGTATCTCACTCGAGAGCGCCGTCTAGAGATCAGTAAGAGCGTAAACCTCACTGACAGGCAGGTCAAGATTTGGTTTCAAAACCGCAGAATGAAGCTCAAGAAGATGAGCAGGGAGAACCGAATCCGGGAACTGACCGCTAATCTGACCTTCTCTTAAACCCTAACCCCGGGGGGGGCACCAGTGAGGAGTGGGCACAGCACCGCCACTTGTTAAAGGCAGGAGAGACTGTGGCAAAACCCGGCATTTCCCAGTTATGTTTTGTTTTGTTTTGTTTCTGGTAGAATGTGACTTTTCGTCCTTCTTTTAGCGCTGCAAGTGAATATGTATTACTATGACGAGTATATATAAAACCTAGCACGTGTAATTTATTTTTGTTCTCATCGTAATGCAGGGTAACTATTATTGAATATTATCATTTGGTCTTAACTTATTGGAACTGTCGAACATCCAAGCAATGTGACTTTTTCATGTTTTTACTAACAAAATGGTATTTATGTGGGGCTGTTACACGGGCCATAACGTTTGGAGTACATTCAATACTTTAAGAAAAAGAGGGGGGGGAGGGAAACTTTGGGGGCGGGGGGAAAGAGAAGCACATTATAAGGTAACTATCCTCGCAAATGAACTTCGAGATTGTCCTTCGTAAAATGGAATATTCCCTTCTTCTCCATTGTAGACATTTCCTTGTGGTGCATATGTGGAATAGTAGTCGTTCAGCAGCAATATGTCCTACTTGTGCATGTTCTGTTCGCATGTATAATGCAATAAACTCTGTAAACTACTGCGGTTCCTTTGGTTTTCTACAAATACTGAAAGTACAGATGCAGGTTGGTCTCCTGGTCTTTCTCTGTGAGCAGCTCTTTGGACTGATGTACCTTCTTTGACATTTTCTGGTCTTTGTGTGTATCTGCCTGAGTTTCTTTCTTTCTTTCTCCCCCCTTTCCTTTATTTTCTTTTTTGTTTTTTTTTCTTCCCCTTTCCTTTTTTAGGGGTGGGGTGGAGACTGGGGCGGGAAACGATGTAAATCTGATTCATTTATAATTGTGCCTGTAAACAAATGATTAATTGATAAAATGTTGTGTGATGTTCCCAGTCTGACAAATTGAATGTAAAAAAAAAAAAAAAAAAAGAGAGAGGGAGGAAGGAAACAAAAAATAAAAAACGTAGTAAAATACTATGACCTCAACTGGACATCCTCATCCAATCAACTCATAAATGGTAAGTGATAAAAATTCTTTCTACTACAAGCTGTCAGCAATATGTATGTCATTTTATTTGACGTTCGCATGTTGATTTAAAAAATATCAGTCACCGCATGCTTACAATGTGTAGACTTTGATTTCGTGTCTGTACTCTCTTAAAAGAACCCCATCATGCCACATGCAAAGCTGGGCATAAGATAAATGTTAAGGAGTTCGGTTCTTGATCAGCTCAAGAGCTTACGGAAGATGGTGGATGTAAAAATGTTTCCTCAAACGTCTGGCAAGGTTGGCTTTTTTGAGCAGAAACGCTCCAAGCGTGCTTACAAAAATACACCGGCCTCTTCAAACCTACTTTTGTCACCCTGCACCGTTTCTGTTTACTCAGAGATCGTTTTATTTAGCGCAATTCCATTTTAGTAGAACACATCCAGATAATGACTTTCAAGACTCTTAACCCTTTCTGTACATAGCTGAGAAATGTTATTCGCAGGGCTCTGCTGAGGAAGGGTGTGCGTGAGACAGGGAGCGGGTGAGTGCCTGTGTGAGGAGAAATACTCAGCAGAACTGCAAATGGCTTGCAAATGAACATGACTCCAAATTGAAGTGCAAATACTTGGGCATACTTTCACCTTCAAACAGTACTGGAAAAATAGCGCGGCTACTGTTCGCGCTGAGAAACCAGCTCACTCACCATCAGCGCCCATTCCTCCCCTAAGCAGTTTCTAAATCAAGAAATTAAAAGCAAGATAGTGCCAACATTGTCTGACTTGGTGGCACTAGTACTGGTCACGTTGCAGCTGGTGGTGTTGCATTTTACTCTTTTGTTGCTGAGATTTAAATTTATATCAATTAAGTACTTAAATTTAGGCCAATACTTCCTCATGTGCACGTTCACTCGTAGGGCAGAGGTATATATTCCTCAAACCAAAGCATCATAATTTTGATGCTGCGGGAGCCGTAAGCCCGTAGGTATTTTGTGCTTGCTCTCCTTTCGAAAACAAACAAGAAAACCGGTGCTCAACAGCCCCCGCCCCCCCCTCCCCCCCCCATATCTTTAAATATTGCATACATTTGAACCGTCTTTTATTTTCCTTTAAAGATACTGGCTACATCACCAACGAAGTTTCAGCAGTGGGAAGTAATTAGCTGGCTCCATACCAAGTGTTTAACGTATATAGAAAAAAGGAGGCTCACTTTAATCTGCCCGCTTTATAAATTCTTATCTGTGTAAAGCGAGGGACAACTTTTCGCCATATCAGAAACCCAGCTTCTAGAGAAAAAAATATAGAAGTATGAGAAGTAAAGGAAAATACTGAAGTGTGAGGAGAGAAACAAACAAACAACCACAAGGGGAAAAAAAAAAAAGGATTTTTTTTTTTAAAAAAAGGTTTAAAAGAGAAGAAAAAAAAGAAGAAAACAACCCCAGAGAGTAATAAATCATTAAATAAACAGGAATTTCAGTCCCTTCCTCATAACGGCCTGGGAGTAGGAAGTGTTTTCGCAGCGCTGCTGTCGCTGGTGCTCTCGGCGGGCTCCCCACTAACCGTGTGCTTTCCTCCAGATCCCGGCACAGCCGCCGTCCCTCGCTCGGCAGAGCAGGCGTGGGGAGAAGACCATGGGTAATCTGGTTTTCCGTACTAACCGGGCACCGTGTCACTCGGGGAAGGCTAACCGGGCAGGGAGGGGGGGGAGGGGAGGAAGGGAAGGGAAAGGAAGGAAAAGACAGCAAAGCGGGCAAAAATCTCACGTAGGCATTGAACGTGGCCAGCGCGGCCCGGCCCAGCTCCCCCACTAGCTAGGGGCGGAGGAGTCAGTTCTGCCGGGGAGGGGGGCTGCCCCTGCCCCGCGGCCGCGGAGCTGCCTGTAGCCGGGCCTGGCTGGGCAGCGCTGGGCATAGCCGGGGGGGGCTGCGCTGGGGCTGCGTAGCCCCAAAGTTTCGCAGATACCGGAGCCTGTGTTCAGCCACACGTCAGTTGTGCTTGGAGACACAGGTTTTGCTGTTTCCATCCGTCCGTTTTATTAGGGACACATTAATCTATAATCAAATACACCTCATAAAATTTTTATTGAAAGGCATAAAATCATTACAGAGGTCTTCCACCTGTTTTAAAACAACACAATGGGCATCTCTTTTTAAAAGTGTACCCTTTCCATGGAAACTTTCTGTCAAAGAGTAGGTGGGGGAGCAGATAATAATACCCGCACATGCTCTGAAATATGGAAGTACCGCAATGTGCTTTTACTGTAACATTTTCCTGTTTTATGAGAAGTCGTTACAGTCCCAGCTTGCGATGGTTTGTTTTTACAGGCAAGAATCCCCCTTTCCCAGCGGGTTTCCTCAGCAGCTTGGAGTGTGATTAGCAAGCCAAGGCTGTTGGATTTATTTAAACACCCTGCCTCTCATTGATTAAGAAATGAGTGGCAGAAATCACTCAAAGGAGGTGAAGAAATAGTGCGCGCCCGCCGCGGCCGTGGGCTGCCAGAGCGGCCACGCCAGGCGCGCCCGGGCAGGCAGGGCTGGGCACCGAGGACGGGCAGGGCAAGCAAGGCAGGGCGGGTGGGCAAGCTGGCAGAGAGGACGGGCAAGGAGGGCAGGGCAGGCGGGCAGGGCGGGTAGAGCGGGCGGCCCCTGCGAGGTCCGGGAGCGCTGTGCGGGGCTGTTGTTGATGATGATTTTTTTTTTAAATCACAGCAGCCCCAGTTTAGCGGATTGATTTACTCTCAGTATTGGTAAATATGATCACGTGGGCTGCGCAACCAATGGTTGAGGGTTGCAGTCTGCAAAATACTACGATTGTTCTCCGGGAGGGTATCATATACAGTTAACAGTGTAACCTTTTATATGACTACGAGGGGAGCCTAAAATGTCGTCTAGTGGCACCATAAGTAACTATTATGTCGATTCTCTCATAGGCCATGAAAGCGAAGAAGTTTACGGGAGTAGATTCGTCCAGGGAGGTCACAGTGCGACCTCCAGGCCATCAGGTGTTGCAGAGAGTTCAGATTTTTCTTCCTGTAGCTTTGCACCAAAATCCACCGTGTTCTCCACCTCCTGGTCCACGGTTCACCCTCAGCCGTCTGCGGCAATGACCGGGATCTACCACCCCTACATGCACCAGCCCCACTTAGGGGCAGCCGACGCCGGCCGCTACGTGCGCTCCTGGATCGAGCCCTTCCCGGGCTTCCCGGGCGGCGGCGGAGGCGGCAGCGGCTCCGCTTCCAGCTCCGGCTCCTCAAACGGGCGCCACTACGGGATAAAGCCGGAGACGGGAGCAGCCGCCTCCTCGTCTTCCTCCTCCTCCTCCTCCTCTTCCAAAAGGACTGAGTGCTCCTCGTCCCGGGAGTCCCAGGGGATCGGTGTGCCCGAGTACACGTGCAGCTCCTTCCTCCAGGAGCCCCGAGAGAAGGCGGCTGCCGGCAGCTCCAAGGACCCCGCCGCTTGCAGCCACAACCCTAGCCCGAGCAGCGATCTGAAGGAGGAGAAACAGCAGCAACTTGACCCAAGTAAGTAAAAAAAAAAAAAAAAATAGGGGGGAGAGAGAGGGAGAGAGGGGCAGAGAGAGAGAGAAAGAAAGAAGGAAAGAAAGAAAGAAATTGCCCCTTTGATTTATTGCCGAAACCTGTAAGGCTCGAATGTGCAAAACTGATAGTTTTACTAACCTATAAAAACGTCTAGACGCCTACCCCAGCGCAAGCAGCAACAAGCACCCATAAAAGACTCCACATAACCACCTACCATCAAGACATCATTTGTACAGTAAACAGACTGGGGCATTAAGGCTTTTATGATAATTCCTCCAAAGTTGTGAAAACAGTCCATCCTTCGTTAAATTAATTTAACGACCTTTCTCTCTCCTCCCCACCCCCCCGCCCCCGGCCCCCTTTCCCTATATACATCCCTTCTTCCAGATAATCCTGCAGCAAACTGGATCCACGCTCGTTCAACGAGGAAAAAGCGTTGTCCCTACACAAAGTATCAAACTCTGGAACTGGAAAAAGAGTTTCTCTTTAACATGTACCTCACCCGAGACCGCCGTTACGAAGTAGCTAGGATTTTAAATCTCACAGAGAGACAGGTCAAAATCTGGTTTCAAAACAGAAGAATGAAAATGAAAAAGATGAACAAGGAGAAGGGCAATAAAGGAGACTAACGCTGGGGTAGAAACGCAGTTGGGGAATGCTGCTTTAGATTTGAGTTTGGAAGGTTTGGGTTTTATTTTGGATTTGGGTTTTTTGGTTGTCGAGTTGCCTTTTTGGGGAGGGGAGGGGTCTTTTTCTTTCTTTCTTTCTTTTTCTTTTCTTTTTTTCTCTTTGTTTTCTTTTTTTGTTGGTTTGGTTTTATTCATTCTGCCCCTGTACTCTCAGCCCCACATACGTTTCTCCTCCTCCTCCGGGTCCCCCCCCCATCTCTCCCAGGAACTTTAAATCAATCTGGTCCTTTTTTTTTTTTTTTTTCCTTAGCTAGAAGTGAAACGTGGTCTATGTCAGGTATTTTCGGAAATATTGTCTTGCTCGCCAACGTGTTTTGCAGAATCGCTTCATCCCCCCTTCCTCCTTCCCAGACCGTTTGGTTGATATTGTGAGTGCACGTTAGCTTTGGGAACTCTATCTGATGCTAAATGTTTGACATGTTCCTTAAAAGTGATGTAGTCTAGATAGTTACTTTGCCAAAATAAAGGTAAGGGAATTAATTATAATTACGGTAATAAAATATATATTAAATTACAGTGACTTAAATCAACGGGGTGCTGTGTTGTCCACGATTTACTAAGAGGAAACCTCTCCCAAAACCTCTGCTTTCTAGGTCTGAATTTCGCTCCTTCGCAATAGATGTCACAGAGAGGCCACGAGCTGTCCCCCACACACACCTTTAGTGCACTGGTAGGAGGTTGTCTCATCCCTGAATCCGTTCGCAATAGGCCTAACGCCTCCCGGTCCCCGGCTAGCTCGCGACCCAGCCCCCGGTGACTGTTGTATTAACTGCCCAGTGTCTCGAACTACAGACCTGTTGTAATTGTTGTCAGTTATTACACAATAAAGTCTGCCGTGACCGAACGACAGCGCTGCCGTGAGAGGACAAATCTGTGCGCCCCTCGCGATGCTCTTCGCGCAGCCGACCCTACCGCGCAGGTCCCGCGGGGCCTCAGCGGGCCGAGCACTGCCGGGCTGGGGCCGCGGGAAAGCTCGGCCTCGCTGCCGGGCCAGCAGCACCTCTGGCAGCCAAAAAGGCCGGAGGAAAATCACTCCCCCGCCGTTCTCGCCTAATCGAAGTTTGCTCTCGGAGGGCAGCGGTGGCGAGGCCGGCTCTGGCCTCTCCATGTAGGTGCATGGGCCGCGTACCCCTCCTGAGCGCCTGGGTTACCAGCGCTCTCTGAAACACCAGCCACCTCTTGGGACACCTTAGGAAATGTTCCCACACCGGTCCTCCAGAACCAATGGAGAAAAATGACGCCTATTCGCTTAAACTTATTTTATTGTTGGGGGCCGCTTCAAATCTCTACACTTTAATCTGGAGGTTGGAGGGCTCTGGGGGGACCCGGCTGCTTCCAAACGTTCGGCTTTGTTGGAGAGAGTTCATTTAGCAACGTGTCTCCTGCCTTCTGCATTTATAAGCTCACATGACTTTATCAAGATAATTGAGATGAAGTTCATTGTAAAAAATGCTTTGTTTAAAGAGTAACCATTAAAATGAAGGACCCGTAAATATTTACGAGCAGTTCGGTTAAATCAAGAATAAGGGGAGAGCTGAGAGACCTGGTGTTTAATGTTTTTTACCTCTGTAAAAAAAAAAAAAGAGCAAAAGCCTGCAGTTCCAGGAAAAGGTGTTGCATTGCTTCCCATCCATTGTGGAGAAGATACCTATAATTCTTTTAAAACAGGAAGAACCGTGGTATAATAAAACCATTGAGATGGCTAGACGTCTGGACCTAATGAGTTTACGATATGCTATGGCTCTTTTCTTTGAAACCACCTTATTTTGATGTTTGTGTTTGTTAAAAGGGGGGAGGAAAGGCCAAAAAATCCAGACAAACTAGGTCTTAAAATCTTGGACTATAAATTTCAATATGTCAGCTTTGGGCCAAGGCAACAGACTCAAAAAAGACCCGAAGGTCACTGAACTGAGAGATTTTACAAAGTCCCCTGATTTGTTGAAATGTATTTTATTGGATCTTCCACTGCGACGTTAGCCTCTGTGTTTGCGGAAATAACTATGGAGGGGGGTGATCTATAACTAACAACAAGTAAACAATATTCTTGCCACACAACAGTTGATTCCAGCAAAGGCTCTGGTAAGAAATTGTCAAGTCCACACCATCTCTTTTAAATATTTTATTTCTGGCAGATTGACAGTTTCTACCTTGTCTATTCCCCCCTCCCCCCCCCGCCTTTGTTTACCTATTTCTAATATGGTGTGCGTTGTTTCAAAATGGCAGAAAGAAAACCAAACGTCTTGAAAGCCGAAACGCGGTTTTTCCAGGGAAATGACTTTTTGTGTCAAACTGAACAATAATTTAATTGTTACCCGTTGGTTGTGTTAATATATGTTTGCACATATGCGCAGTCGCGTGCACACGCATCATACCGAATAATTCACAGGCATGTGTGGTGAAGGGGGGGGGGAGGATGAACAAAGATCCATCTTTACTTTCGTTTACATAAGTCAATCCATAAATACAGAAATGCATGGGCAAACGAAATAACATGTTCAAGACAAAACCGTGTAACTCTGAAACTGCCACACATGGAGAATTCGTGGTGTAATACGTGGGGAAACACGATCGAAAACGCGATAGCAGCGGTCTTCAAAGCTCAGGCGTCTTTGCTGGCTGCCATGTGTAAACGAGGCGCATTCTTTGTATGTAGTTAATTATAGCACTGAGAAAAAAATAAAAGACGGTCACCGAAATGTGCTAAGAAAATGGCATTCTGAAGTCCGGCAGACAAAAAAAAAAAAAAAGGGGGTGAAAAAATGGGGGAAGGAAAAGAGGGAAAAGGAAAAAAAAAAAAAGGAAAAATAAAAAGAATGAAAACCATTCCGGAACCAGCTAGCACAGGAAGGACCGCTCAGCGCTGAGGCCCCGCCGGGACAGTGCAGAGCCGGCCGGCGTCCCTCAGTGTCCCTTCGGGGTTCTGGCGGAGCCGCGGAACGGCCACGGGGCCGGGAAGCTGCGGGCAGCGCGGGGCGGGAGGACGTTGCCTGCCATCACACACCGCCAGAGGGCGCCCGCGCTCCACTTTAGTGCCGCCGCCGCGCCTCGTGCTCCGCGCCCCGCGTACTGCTCTGCGCTCTCCCCTGCCGCGGAGAACCGCTGCTGGGACTGCAGCCCCATGCGAGTGGCAGTGCTGACACATCGGGGGCGGGTGGTCTGGAGTGGATGTGGAAAGCATCCACGCTGACCCTCCGCGCCTCTGTGCGGAGTGAAGCAGTTTCCCTGCTGCCGCCATTCTGCCAACACACAGCTTGGCCTGGTCTCCTGCCTTCTTGCTGCTCTCTTGCTATGGCCTTTTGCTTCTGCTTCTATCTATCCTTGTAGCATTAAAAGTCCGTGTGCCACCTCCGGGCCTCTCTCACTCCAACACCCCCCACCCGCCTGCTCCCCGGCTGTCCCTGAGCCTTTTCCAGGCTCCAAAAGGCGTGTGTCCCAGGCCGCCGGGCCCTTGCTTGGGCGCGGGTGTCGCTGCGGGCCTAGCGCCCGTTCGGGCACTCATGTGGTGGTTAGCAGGGCTGGTCACCTAGACAAAGCAAGTTAATTGTGATGGGGACCGGGAGGTCGGAGGGGTGGGGGAGCAGAGTGTGATGGGGAAGGAGCCTGCGATGCCTTTTATGTAACCACAAATATTTTTTTGTCAATTCACACCAGATGGTCACACGTGGCTCTAGCGGGGCCCGTATTGTATTTCACCTAGATTTTTCGTTTCTCTTCAAAATAGGGCAGACTCGACCTCCTGGGGGTATCTGTCCAAAAAGCCGATTCCCACCGCAGGACAAAGCAGCGAAGAGAGGGCTGGAGACAGCACTTCTCGAGGCTCGGGGCCCCGCGATGGCTGCCAGCCCGAGGAGCAGGGGCAGAACCGAGCCTACCGCGCAGCGCTTTCCTTCCTTCCTCTCGTATAACAGGGCTCGCTTATTTGGGACCGCGTCCCCGAGCGATGCAAACCCCTCATCCACATATTTTCCTATTTTTTTTTTTATTTTTCCCTCCCTCTCTCTGCCTCGGTAATGACGTCCACCAAGGGTGAAATGATGGAAAGTATATTCATAGGCATGATTTCCATTGTCAATTAACCTGGAGCCTCAGCCATGCGTGCACGGCGTCAAGGGTAAATGTGCATCTCATTTCCCAGCGCTCTGCTCGCCTGCAAGGGAATGACTGGAGGGTCCGCAGCACCCCTCCGCCCTCGGGGTCTCCCCGGCTGCCCTCGCCGACACCCCCGGCTCAGTGCGCCGAGCACCGGCTCCCTCGGCTGGCCTCCCTAGCCGAACGGCGGTGCAGGCCGCGGTTCAGAGCTCAGCCGCGGCCCTGGGCCCCTAGTGGCCTCGCCCCGGGCAGCGCGCCCGCGGTTATCGCGCGGGATCTGCGCGGCTGCCTCGCCTGTGCGCGGCGGGGGTTTCGTTGGCTCCTGGCGAGCGCGCACCGGCGGGGGGAGCGGAGGCGCAGCGGCTGGGGTGGATCCGGGCAGGACTGGGCCGGGTTTTTTTCTTGCCTGAGGAGCGGCACATGTAAACTGAAGCCAAAAGTCCCCCCTGAGCTCATGAGCGTGTGTGTATGTGTGTGTGTGTGCGCGGACTGCTGTGTGCCTAATAGGAAATAGTAAAAGCAGTGAGGCAGGTCATTTTGGGAGCGATTATAATCCAGTCCTGGTCACCACATACACGGAGAGCGGGAGCGGTGAGCGCACTGGCGAGCGGCGACGGCATGAGCGCAGCGTAGAGGCACCAGCGGCGGCGGCGGCGGGAGCAGCACCCCACGCCCGCGCCCCCACCCGCCGCTGCCCCCTCCCAGATGAGCTCCTACTTTGTCAACCCGCTGTACTCCAAGTACAAGGCGGCGGCGGCGGCGGCGAGGGAGCCCATCAATCCCCCGTACTACGACTGTCACTTCGCGCCCGAGGTGAGCGGCCGCCACGCCGCCGCCGCCGCTGCCGCCGCCCTGCTCTACGGGAACGGCGCGGCCGCCGCCGGCTTCCCGCACCCCGCGCCCGGAGGGGCGGGGGGCGGCGGCGGCGCAGCAGCGGACTTTTACCACCCGGCCGGGGGGAGCCCCACGGCCGCCTACCAGCCGCCTCCTCCTCCCCCCGCCGCGCCTCCGCCTCCTGCCCCCTGCAGCGGGGTTACCTGTCACGGGGAGCCCGCTAAATTTTATGGATACGATAACTTACAGAGACAGCAGATTTTTACGACACAGCAAGAGGCCGAGCTGGTACAATATCCTGACTGTAAATCGTCCAGTGCTAATATTGGCGAGGAACCAGACCACTTAAATCAGAGCTCGTCTCCTGCTCAAATGTTTCCCTGGATGAGACCACAAGGTTGGACGCAGTCAAAAATTTGTGCTTCCATCTCACGTCTGAGTTCGAAACTTTCTTTTCCTCCTCCCGCTTCTTTCTTGCTGCATCTCGCTCCCTGCCTCTGCCGCCCTCGCTCCCTGCGTCTCTCCCCGCAATTCCTATCGCCGCGGTGGCTTGCGATAATAAAGCGATACAGTAAGCAAACAGAAAGCTCAGCAGAAGGCGGCTGTCACCCCAAGAATAGCTTTAAAGTCCATTTGGACACCGAGGTGTATCTGCCGCTCTCGCCCGGCTCCTGCCGCAGCCGTCCGAAAGGGAGGGAGCAGGGCCGGGGGACCGGTCATCAGATAATAAAGTGACTCGGTCCCGCAAAGCCCAGTGGAGGGATGGGGAGCCGAGGCACTTCGTGCATCTGCTACTGCTGTTTGTCCCGCACTCGTGTGTAGAACTCGGCTCTGCCGAGCTCTTTGCTTTTTCTCCCTGCGTTTCTGTGGGGCTTCTCTCGAGGGATTCCAGAGGGGCCCGAGCCCTCGCTCCCTGCTTGTGCCTGGTTTTGAACGACCACACCAACTTCCAAAACCTTGTGTTTTTGTTTTAAACAGCAGCGCCGGGTAGGAGGAGAGGAAGACAAACATACAGTCGATTCCAGACACTAGAGCTGGAAAAGGAATTCCTCTTTAACCCCTATCTGACCAGGAAGAGGAGAATAGAAGTGTCCCATGCATTAGGACTCACCGAAAGGCAAGTAAAGATCTGGTTTCAGAACAGGAGGATGAAATGGAAAAAAGAGAACAACAAGGACAAATTCCCCGCTTCCAGACAGGAGGGAAAGGAAGGGGAGACCAAAAAGAAAGCACATGATCTGGAAGAAGACAGAGCTGAGGGCCAGACGAATTAAATTTTGCCCGAAAAGCCTTTGCAAAGACCATCAGAAACAACCAGCGCCACAGCCCGACATGTCAGCCTGTCTCCCCCTGTACGAGGTCCTGCCGTGGGACGAGTGTACCTCTGCTTGACGTTTCTCTGCTTCGGGTGCTTCAGTTTATGGTTTTGTTTTTAACCATATCCGGAACAATCTCTAGATTTAACAGTTCATCTACTTTTTGCAAATTTGATACAGATTTTGTAGCAATACATTTCTATTTTTTTTTTCCCAATCTTAAAAGACGGTGATTGCGAGAAACAACATAAACTTCCTAATAATGAATTCCAATAAGCAAGACATTTAACGACGGTTTATTAATCAAGTGCACTTGTACTATTTTAATTCTTGTTCTTATGTTGACTAAATTAAATAAATTTAATAAATTTGAAGAACTTAGAAGTATATTTAACCTTCTGCTATGATATTTGATGAAAATAAACCAAATTTATTCAAATATAAACTGTATCGGCATCTTCGTATCTTTTTCGTAATTCACTCCTCCAGTAAACCTCACTGCCCCTCCACGTCTGGAATAACCCCCCCTGCGCCTTTTTCTGTACTTCTCCCTGTGCTGGGTGTTTCGGTGGGGTCTGGGAAGGTCACATTGGCTGCAAATCCTGGGTTTCTCTCCCTGTTGCCTGCACACCCCGCCAGAGTCTCCAGACATGGCTCTGCGGGATCGTGGTGGAAGCAGCGGACAGCAGGGACCAAGGGCCCACTCTCTGGCTGAGCCACGCTGCGGCCCGGTCCCGGGAGCCCCCTCGGTGTGTGCGCCCGGGCCTTGCTTTCAGCTTTCCCACCCTCCCTGAGCTGCGGGACGGCGGGCCCGGGGGCTGCTGCCACCAGACAGGGGCTTTGCCTTGCCGAGATGAGCGTTGCTCCTGATCGGTGCTGGGCTTCCATCCGCAGCCAAACCCGGCGTAAACGACCCTGCGGATGGTTGACGAGTGGAGAGATTAAAAGCTTCTGTGGCCTTAAGTGGAGTTTTCTCGGGAGCTGTAATGGTTAGTGCTCCCAAACCACACGTAAACGGAGAGAAGGGCGTTTTTCCCCCTATTATCGCATGTCTTGAGTGCGTTCCCCGCGAAGGCCACAGCCGGAGAGAGCAGATTCCCCGCAAGATTCCCCGCAGCCAAGGGGAGAGGAGCCCGCTCTGATCAGTAAAACGGTTTATCTCCCCTTTTCCCCTCCCTCCCCTTTCTCCCGCTCCTCGGCGAGGTCCCGCAGCCTGCAATATCCGAGAGGATGGCCGACAGCAGTCCTTTTTAGGAACAGTAGCCAGAGCGCTGGGGTATGAGGTATAAAACCCTACTAAGATATTTGTGTCATTTTTTCTCCACGGCCTCACGTCCCCGTGAGTGATGGCTACCTGAAGGGGACCTGAGGGACGCGCCAGCCACTGCCACGAACACGAGAAATTTACATTATCTGCCCGGGAAACTATTAAGGGCCGAGCCAGGCCCCACTCGAAAACACATCGAGGAGCCTGGAGGGGTGCCTGCCTCCGCCGTCCGCGCCCAGTGCTACGGCCCTTCTCCGGCGCCCACCGCTTCGCTCCAGGGAACAGATCCGGCACGGCGGGAATCGCCATGCCCGGTGTCGGGAATTGTATGGTGGGCTTGGTTCATTTCGTTTCCCTTCCCTTTACCCCGTTCCCGCCACCGAGCCAGGCACATTTCCATTCCTGCAAAACAGTAGCTCTAGAGGGAGTCACAAGCAAGCGGAGCTATTGTTCTAGGTTTATTTTAATCACGTAGTTGGTTAAAGGTTGTAAAAGAGGGGAAACTGCAGCAAAGAGGTGAAGTAAACATTTTGCTGCATGGATTTGCATAAATACACGGGTACCCCTAATGTCCAGGAAGGATGTGGAGCTGGTGGCGGCGCAGTTTAGGAAACCCAGTCTCCACCTTGGTTTTCAAAATACCAGTTGCCACTGACACCGGCGTGTTGGGTCTCAGGTCAGGGTAAAAGCCTCTGCCCTGCGCTGCGGTTGTGGCCAAGCCCTGATGCAGCAGGTCCCTGCAGGCGCTGCCACAGAGATATCAGTGCCGCAGACCGGGACGGCAACAAGGGAAGCGCGTGTCGGAGACCTGCACACCTGGGCGAGCACTAATATTTATCCGGGAAAGTTCTGATGCTGTGGTTGTTTTTAATTTCCAGACAAAGAGAATAAAATTGGAATATTCTTGGGGAAGTTTCCGTTAAGCATCGCTCACCCTGGGCCGACTGGGAACGCAGCCACGTAGACAAAAGCTGACTTCCTTGCACGCACAACGGCAAAGGCCTAGCTGTAACTGGAATAGTCCCTGTCTTATTAAGAAAAACAATAAAAATTAATGTAGTTGTTAAGGTAGCTCCCCCTTACAGCCTGGCAGCTGAATCGTTCGTAGAGTCTTGCTAACAAAAAGAAAACTGATCCAGAAATTGTCCCGGGCTGTCAGTAAGCCCCAGATTAACAGGACTCCTCGAGATCCGGAGCAGGCAGTGGTATTTTGGCAGAGAAAAGCCGTAGCTGTGCGAGTAGCGGAGGCAATGGAGGAAAGAGGCCGCCTGTGGCGGCCGCAGTGCGGATATACCACACCTTTGGTTTCCGCGGTATTTCTCCATTTCCACCCTGGGCAGCTCTGCCGTGGGTTCCGCAGAGCGGCCGCGAACGGTGCCGGTGCCGGTACCTCCGCCGAGGGACATGACACACGCCTGTGATATTCACGGGTGTGCAACTGCCAGAAGCAGCGTGCTAAAAGGATCTTCCATCTTTGGAAGTGTTTACTTTTGTTAGCTCTATTTTCGAAGCAGGTACAATCAACACGGCGGTCACTGATGGAGGGATCTGTTTATTGTCTAGAACAAAAATTGAGCAAGAATACTCCATCTCCGAGCAGAGCATTCACTGTGGACACGGGGCAGGTTTTAGCTTTTTCTAGTACTTTCTGCGAATTTTGCCCCACATCCTAGTAGCCGCGGTAAGGTTTTCTTGGGGACAGGGGCATCCCCACCGGCGGGGCCGTGGGCAGCCTGGGCGCGATGTCAGCGCCCGCCACCACCCTTGGGCAACGGGCACACCGGGTGGGGAAGCAGCTAGGACTATTTTTAGGTCAGGAACGGCTTCGGCTTCAGTAGTGGGCGCTCAAACAAGTGTGGATGCTTTTAGGGCAAGCCGGAGCGGAGAGGGGGGTGAGGTGGGGGGATGAGGGTAGAGCCCTCTTTCGTTGGGGGCCGACATGGAGCCCCCGGCGCCGCGCGGTCCCCCTCTTTGTGCGGCTCCGAGGAAGCTCACCCTTCTCCCTGCGCGGATCTTCTGCGAATGGCCGTGCTCGAGGGCCTCCGCAACCGCGCCCGGGGCGCGCAGGCCGCGGGCAGGCGGGATCGGGGACTCAGTAAAAGCGCAGCGCGCAGGCGAAAGAAACATGGCGCTGGGAAGCAGTATGTGCAAAATCCGCAAGGAATTGCAGTAAATTCCTTTTTGTTTGAAGAAAATTTACAACTTGGTAATAGACCTTTTTATGACCTATTTGGGCTCGTCATTGGCTGCGGCTGGTCATGTGCAGGCAGCGAGCGCTTTCATGGCCTTTTCCTGATTTCCCTGGCGAATTTCCCCCTGCATTCTGCCTTCAGAGAGCCTCAGCCCCTCTTTTTCTAACCTTTGTCTAGGCTGAGGTGTATGGCAGTCGCCCTCATGTTTGTGCCCTGCACCCTAAAGCCCGCGGCCGGTCCCGCCGTTGCCGTGCTGACACGTCCCCAGACCCGCTGCGCTTCCTCTCCCGCGACAGGGGGGGAATGCGCTGAGCTCCGCGCCCGCCGCCGCGCTGGCTCCAGCCCCCCGCTCCTCTCCCGCCGCTTGTTGCCGACACATCCTCCGGCACACGGATTGCTACGCGGGTGCAAAATGGATTACAGCGACCGTCCCGGGCTCCTCCGCCGGCGGGCAGTGCCGCGAACCGGTAAGCACTCGGCTCCCCTCGGGATTGCCGCTGGTTCCGCACCCGCGTACCGTCCCGCACTGCAGCACGGCGACGGCTGCCCTGTCCTTCAGCCCCGCTGGTCACCTGTCCCTCACAGTCCCTTATTTTCTCTAATGCCATTTGTATTATTGTTACTATTATTGTTATTATTACTGTTGCTGTTATTGCTACTGTAATTTATTGGCATTGTTATTGTTATTAATAACGGTTGTGGGTACGCCGCGGGGTGTATAAGGCTGCTGCGTTGACTGGAACGGAAAAGGCGTTGGGGCCCGAGCTGGAGCTGCGATCCGAGCCCCTCCGCCCCGAGGGGCGGAAGGCTGGGGCGTAGCGCTCGCAGGCAGCATTTCTCATGAGCGGGGTTTCTTCCAGTAAAAAAGGCTTTTTTTTTCTTTGGGAACTATTTTCCCTTCCCGTCTGAAGCGCGGTGTGGTGATGCTGCGGTTTGATTTCCTCATGGCGGAAGGGCGGTCGCGTAACTTTAAAGCTTAACAGGTGTTTTCTCAGGAGAACCGGGGTCAGAGCTCCCGCAGAGGCGGAGGGCGCGGGGCGGTCCCGCCGAGCCGGTCGCGCCGGTGGTTGTGCCCGGGGCCCCGCCGGGGCGGTTTAGCATATCCTTCTCTCTTCACTGTGCATGAGCCAAGGGTGAGGTTCCGACCGGCCCTGTGGGAGGCACAAGGGCCGGGCTCCGCAGCCGCACAGAGCGGGGAGGGCTGCGCGGAGCCACGGCAGGGGGACACTTCGCAGCGCGGCTGCTGACCCGCGTGGAAATCGTGGGGGACTCAATAGGGGACGAGTTTGCCGGAAAAAAAAAATCCTCCACCCAACCCAGGTTTATTTTGAAATATGTAGAGGAGGTAGAGCAGTCATATAAACTATATCTGCGATACCCATACATGTGTATCTACCCTTATCTACCCTTAGGTAAGAACATACTTACATATGTATGTTCTCTGTAGAACATTGGTCCTTTGGAATTATATTATTTTGAATGCACATGTATTTTACACATTTCCTCTTAATTTTCAAGATGTGAATGCGCAGTAGAAAATCCGCTGCCTGGCATTGTTACATCGTTGGTCAGCGATGGAAATGCACTATGCCATTGCACTGCAGAAATTTAGTGAATCGGCAATTTACCTCAAAAGCAGCCGCTTATTTAACGGTAAAGCAAACCGCCTGAATAAACCATCCCTAGTGAGAATGCAAAGGGGTGGGTCGTGTCCCAGGTACATATTTTGAAGCAGCAGGAGAAATTATTTAATCCATCCCTGAACATGTTCCCAGCTTGCTGAGCCCGAGCCCAGCTCAGGAAGCGGTAGGACGCTTTTTCCTCCCGCTTTGGCTCTGCAGTAGCCGGCCGCCCTCCGCTGCTGAAGGACTTGGGAATTATTTGGGGGAAATCGTTTTCAACATAGCAACAGTCTTTAGGAGTAACTTGGAAAGTATGTATTGAGTTAGGTTTCACTCTCAAAATCTCTCCTAGGTGACACAGTAATTGTAGCTGCTTGGCTATAAATCTCTCCAAAAACTTAAAAAAAATCTCGTCCTTGAGCTGTTTTGAAATTATTCGTAGCCTGGGGAAAAAGAAGGAAACAAAAGCAGGATGTTCTAACGAATTCTTATGTGCATGTACGTCTGCGGGTCCATATGCTGACACATGCGGATACACATATGCATTTATGGTCCCACTGGTTTATGTGGGAGTTCGTTTTTTTTTTCCTTTCTAAACGGCTTCCTTCCTTGCTTGCTTTTGTTCGTTTTTATCTTTTTTACTCCCCCTTTCATTTCTTTCATTAACATTGAAGCATAAATATGTGTATGCTCTTAAATATACCTGTGTGCGAGTGTTCATAACACTGTATGGATGTGTATATATATATTTATGGCACATACGAGAACTATTTTTATATACATTTATACACAAACGTGGGCGCCTGTGTGAGTGTAGATGTGTTGGTGTGCTGTAATTTCTGGAACACAGAATCCACATTTACATTTCTCACACCTGCTCCGTTTTCCGACGTGTTTGGCAGAATTTGAGTCATCTCATTTTTTTGTTGAAAGGAAATAGCCGAGCCCTAGCCTACACGTTACTGACTCAAGGGCAGTGAAAGAACAGCAGCACAAAATAACCCTCAGGACAGCGCAGGCTGCATTCCCCGGCAGTGCCCAGGTATCCCTGGCGCCAGCTGCCATTTGGGGTCAGGCTGGGCTCCCTCTTAGCTGCTCCAAGTTGCCTGAGCGAGAAGAGCAGCCTCTGCTCCCCGACCCTGGAGGGGTTTTGGGGCAAGTAAGGGAGGCGATGTGAACCTTGGATCCGGGAAGCCCGAGCAAAGAAACACACGTTGGGTTTGCGCTCTTAAGAACCCCAAAACCCGCCGATTCTTTTATTTCCCAATAATGTTTCTCTTTCCCCAAACAAATATAATTCTCATGGGGTGTTTTATGAGTGCTTAGGGCAGAAAAAAAGTCCGAACAAAGACAGTATTTCACCCCTCAGTTGGCAGGCAGCTGTTAAAGGTATTTACGGCTCTACTGCAGTGCGGCACTCAATGCTGCTGAAGCGGGAGAGATAAAAACAGGAAGCGAAAGGAAAAGATGAGGCACAATAAACATTGCAGCAGGTCGCAGGGGCCGGGCGGGGCGCGGAGGAAGGGTCCTGCCAGAAACAAGAGGCAATAAAACTGCATTCAGCGGCAGCAGGCTCTGTCCGAACCCGGTACTCGCCTCCCACCAATGCGGGGGAGGAGGAAGAAGGGGGGGGTAGTCCACATCGCCCACCCAGCGCCCCACGCTGGAGCCGACCCGAACTGGACCCCGCCAAAGTGCCGAGGCTGAGGGCTCAGCCCAGCTTCCCGCCCGGCGCCGCCGTCGAGGCCTGGCTCCGACACATCTGCCCGCGGGTGGTGCCGCCCCGACGGCTAGCGCCGGGGTCACCTGCCCGCTGCTTCCCCCCTCGGGTGGTAGGGCCAGGCCAGGCCGGCGTGCAGAGCGGAGCGGCCGCCGGGGGCGCGGTAGGCCCTGGCTGCCTCCACCAGCCATTTTGTCTCCACGGCCTCTTCCAGGAGAAGGCGCTGTAGGACAAGCCTGGCCGCTCTCCCAGCCTCGGAGAGGGGTCTGCCTACCCGCCGCCCCCCACCGCTTGCCCCGGGCCCCGACCCGGCCTCCCGCCTGCCCACGGGAGAGGTCCACAGGAGGAGCCCTCCCCAGCCGTGGCTCAGTTGTCCCACTGCTTCCAGCCCTGCGGCCTCCTTCCGCCCCGGGTCCCCGGGCTTTTGCACGCACCCGTGCCCGCCCCGGCGCACTCCCTGCCTTTCCCCACGGTGCCGGCGCGGCTCACCTCGAGTGCCCCGCCGCCCTCCAGGTCACCGGCCCGCCCTTTGATGTCGGGCAGACACTTTTTCCTTCTCTGCCCCTTTGATGTGGGTGCCAGAGCACCATGGCGGCCAGCACTGCTGGCTCCCTTCCACCGGGCAGAGCCTCCCTACCCTCTGCAAGAGGGGCCCGGCAGCTTTCACTGCCTCCACCTCACCTGTTACCTCCAGGTTTCATCTGACCCAGCCTTGCCCGGACATGACCCTGGTGATCCACAACCCCCCCGGGCCGTGCCTGCTCCACCTCGACGCTCCCACGGCCCCCGGCCTCCCCTCCCTGCTCCGCGCTCCTCGCCCTCTTCCCCCGCGGACCCGGGGTGCCGCCGCCGCTGCCCCCGTTTGATGTCGGGGTGCGGCTCGCTAACAGCCCTGCCTGCCCCGGGTCTCTGCTGCCGCCGGATCTGCCCGCGGGCACGGGGAGCTGCGGGCAGGGGCCTTTGCATGCCCACATCCTGCTCGGCGAGGGCATAGGTGGTGAGGTGACTGCTGAAAGGTCAGGGTTATGAGAAAAGTGAGGGCTGTTTTGGACGCTATCAAGGCGCTCTGTAGGTCTTCAAAGTCAGAGATGGAGCCTGTCATTTTCTGGTGGTGTGGATGCTGGCAATCATGTCTATCAAGTGCCATCGAGAGCGACAGTGGTTTACACATGTGATTCAATTTCCCCAATCCTTTTAACTCAAGTTACCAGAGGGAAACCAATTGTTAGTGGGTAACTTAATTCCACACCTTATCCACCTCCAGATCGTCAGTCCTGAATATGAGAGCTGGCATAAAAACCTAAATGAACTGGCCAGAGCTTCAAAGTCAACTTTCACATCTGCATTTTAGAATAAAAAATGGGAAAATCCTCCTAATTCCCTCTTCAAAATGTCAGGGCTGGAATTACTCAGTTGCTGAAACATTCTTCATCTTGCCCATGATCACAGGGAGCTGTATCTCATTCATCACCTCCTCACTACCCCACAGCCTCACAGTTCCCAGCCCCAGCCTCAAGGCCACATTTGCCAGAGGCACATGCCCGGCCCGGCTTTGCAGGGGCTGACTCTCCGGCCGGGCGCCAGCAGCGCTGCCACGCCGACTGCCTCTCCGTGGCTCTTCTCCCGCACGTGTGGGATGCGACCCCGTCCAAACCAGAGTCTTTTATTGCCCACTGGGTAGGCCAAGAGAGCAGAAGCTGTCGCGGATACCAGGGAAGGTAAGGGGAGCCGATCACAAGGGCTGGAGCTCACTCGTGGTCCCGTTTGCCCAGGACCGGACCTCCACTGTATCCAGCACCAGCTGCCAGGCCTGGGGCAAATGCCTCTGCATCACGGTTCTTGTCGTCCCAGCCTCTTTTCCCTACATTTTGTTGTACTTCCCCATTGCATCCCTACCCCTCAAATCCTGATCCTTATCTTTTTTCCCCACCTTCTCAGGGGACCAGCATCCTGGCATCTTGCACCTGCCTGCCGCTGAGGCTGTTCCCCAGATGCCAGAGAGAACTGCTTGTTTTGGAGCGAGGGGGTGCCTGAAGGCTGCCACAGAGCCTGGTCCCACACAGGGCAATCCACTCCTGCCTGGGGGTGAATGGCCGGGCCCCCCGAACTTTAATCGGCAGTCAAA